CTTGCCATTCCGCTTTTAAAAATGCTATTGATTTGAAACTTAGTGTGGACAATCTTTGTAGAGTAATAAAGGTACCACAAAAAGAATTTTTTAAAAAGATGATTTCAAACCGCAGAAATTAGGCATGCAAATAACGGTGTAAAATCTGCTGTAGTTTACCACAGGGATCCCGCAATCTCGACCATGTCATTGAGCCATTGTTTTATTTTTTTTTCTTCTTCTTTTTTCTTCAATTTTTTTTCTTGAATCTTGTTCATATGAACTTCTGAAGATTGTATCTGTCGGTATTTGAGTAGTATTCATGTAGTTTCAGTGCTTTTATCGGGGTTTTAGGAATATCATTTTTATCAAATGAAATATATATCGATAGAAAACATAAATAAAACTGATGAAAAAAATAGAAATTTTTTTGAACATTTACGATTTTAAAAGCGAAAATGTATATTTTTCGAGAAGCAAACATTTCCACAGAGATCGATCCCGCTATTAACCCTCTTCTTATGCACCCATCTTTCCCATACATACACCCCCCTCCCTTCCCTCAAACCCCACTCTCCAAAAAAGGGTAAAGGTCATTTGCTCATTCATTTCACCTTCACATTCCATGTATTCAGGGCACTTTTTAGTAATCATACTTCATTAGATAGTGAGGGGTGTGAAGATGGATGTGGAGGGGGGGATGTGTTAAGATTGGGGGGGATGGGGGGTGGGGCGTTAATGCTCACTCACCTTGAACTTTTTGAAAACGCGCGCAATTTACTTTGGAGAATAMATGAATAGAAGCAATACAAAGAGTAGTGTGATCAGATGGGTCAAGTTAGACAGTAAATTGACACAAGTGAATATTGTTTTTCTTGTTTGCTTTGATTGTWAACAAAATACAAAAGACAGATCATTAAACAGATACCAGCAAAACATACAGACCCACGCAAGTCAACCKCACACCTGCGTAAAGAATAACGCCTCTTATAATTCTTTACTATTAACCAAGTCGCATTTTAACGAAGCATTTCACTGGGACATTATTACTCTTGAACCAAACCAGGCTACAATGGCGCTTAAATTAGTGTTAATTCTAGCGTGCTTTACTATTGCTGCCGCTCAACCCATGAAGAAAAAAGGTAAGTTACATTATTTAACAACTGTATAAGAACCTCACTTCTGTTATAGGCACGCTAAGTTGTGATGATAGCACAAGGGAAGCGATGGGAGAGGCATGAACTTTAGACGAAGTGTTGGGGAACTTTCTTCACTTGCTAGAGAGCTCACAAAGCCTCTTCTAAATGCTTTACCACGCACGCGCAAGCACCGAAATTAACGACTCCTCTTTCCGAGGTCTGCCTGGGTACGAGTTATTTGAAGGTGACATGATGTTCACCAAGGAAGAAATCGACGCCGCGCAAAARGGACTGGATCCTATGACTCCTGATGGTGCGCGTGGTCTTATCAAGAATCGCCGCTGGCCAAATGGAGTTGTACCTTATGTCCTGGATAAAAGTGTTAGTAAGTACCTGAAAGTGACCAAWCTTTGATATTGTATAAAATGTTTCAAATGTTATTGTTATATTCCAAGAAAATAAATTCCTGAATGCCATTGGTATCAAGGGACCGAGTGAACGTGCAATTTATAGCGCGATAAAGGAATGGGAACAAAAAACGTGCATCAGATTCGTACCCAGGACCTCCGAGAAGGACTACATAGAGTTCTTTGATGGTTCAGGGTAAGTAGGTCGTAAAATACTGGACACGAGACACTTTCATTTGATGGTAACAAAAATAAGTTACATTTAAATACTTACCAATAAAACTGGGTTCTTCGTTAAGGAAAAAAGCCGAAAACCCCGCAACGTCCTCGGTCAAAAGTATTAATCAATCATCACAATCACTAATAGAACTAATGTAGGTGTACAGTAAGTTCCATATAACTAACTATCTCTTTTAGTTGTTGGTCATACGTGGGAAGACTGGGAAAAGGCAAACAGCAGATTTCAATTGATGGGATGGGCTGCTTCACGCATGGCATTGTGGTACACGAGATTGGACATGCACTAGGTAACCGCGAGCATGTCTGGATTGAAAACATTATACCCCAATCTCGTACCCAGAGCCGCCGTCCGTTCCTCTTGGTCAGCGAAGTTTCTCGGCGCTGACCAAGAGGAACGGCGGCTCTGGGTACGAGATTGATTATACCCGTGAAACAAAACCTATAGTCAAAGAGTAATAATCCAATAGAATAAGAAAGCATTGMAATCACAGCGCACTAAGGTGTATTAGTGTAATATCTGTTTCACGGGTTTTTTCGACTTCACTCTGGTTCACGGGTTTATGGAAACTATTAATTGAATTCAGTTATAATGCCACTACATCGAAATACTGTAGACCGCTYGTCAGGAAGTCTAGTGCAATGAATGACAATTTGCTTGATTCAAACAGGGTTCCAACACGAGCAAAGCCGTCCAGACAGAGACAATTACGTCGAGATCATCTGGGATAACATTAAAGAAAGTAAGTCYTCCTCCGGGTTGGATTCACGCTCTGCTTAAGGCCACAATCACTATGATTTTTATATTAGAAAAGGTCTATGATCCACACTTACGGCTCAAATAATCTTTCTTGTTATCAGAGAGCAAGCACAATTTCAAGAAATACAGCCACGGGTATATTGATAGTCTAGGTGTACCATATGACTATGGGTCCATTATGCACTATGGAAAAAGGGACTTCGCTAAATGGCCCTGGCAGACTACCATCAAAGTAAAGAAAGCAGGCGCTTCTATTGGTCAGCGGTCTCACCTAAGCCCCCTCGATGTCAAACAAATGAACCTGTTTTACAACTGTCAATCAAAACRCTAAAARATGAWAACAAATAACAATAACCTGTCAATCAAAATGATGAGTAACAATAACAAATAATAAAAAATGCTAAACGTTTCATACCTTTTTTTGCATTGTCTTTATTTTATGATAAACAGTAGAAACTCGTATGCYTTACAACATACTAACAGTGTCCTATTCTGCTACTATACAATGGATTTCGTATGAATGGAAAACGGAACAAATATCATGGGTCTGTAGTTCAACTGCATATCGTAAGGCTCGAAGGGGATTAGCATTATCCGTTTTCCACTGATACAATAGAAACTTTATCAAGATAGAGGTTGTTTGSTAAAAAACATTCAATCATCGTAAATGGTATCAGAGGATTTCCAAACTGCACGTCGATTTCCAAAACATCGCAGACGCACGCATAAATACGGTTTGTTTTCGAGAAAAAAAAACATAAGGAACATYGCCCAAAAATTCCTTTTTCATGCACGCCTGCGATGTCTTTGAAAAGCATCCATGCATCTTGGATTTTCTCTTTTGGATACTTGACGATGTGAGAGGCAATGATATTTTTATCCTTATGACGTCACGTTGCTCTGGCGAAGTGCATCGCGGTATTGATAAATGCATAAACAGATAACGCGAGTCTTTCATTAACGAATCTGATTTCGATTACAGCAAAATAGTCAACGATCACCTTTGATCAATAAGCACGTCTAGTTGCAATGCATCTTCACGAACTGTTGTTATTTCTGTACTAAAAATAGCCCAACACACAATATGACGTCAGTGGGTACTTACGTCAATCCCATGGTGCATGTCGCCGCATGACGTCACAAAGTGAAAATGACATTGCCATGACGACATCATATACTACTAGACCCTTTCTTTCATAAAGTAATCCAATCGATACTCCTTTTTTCAGTTCAAAGAGGATAAGAAATAAAAGGATCCATGATGAAATATGCTATCATAATAGCACTAATTATGTGCAATTTCTACGAATTTTGAGGGTGGCCAAGGGCTGGTACAGGGCTAGTTTTAATTCGAAAAGAATACCCGTTTTCAGAGCTATTGCATTGCAATGATGACATGCTTTGCTGATTTCTCTTTCAGGTTGGCTGTTACAGCCTCTGTCACATAAAGGAGTTATCCTCTTTGAACCGAAAAAAGGAGTTGTTTAGTACTCTCAAAAGAGAATAAACACTTGACATAAGAATGAACATATGTTGTGCATTCTGCTGTCAAAGCCGTCGAGCGAACAACCCATTCACTTACAAAATACAAAAATATAGCCGTTCAAATAGAGCAGTAGATATCGCAGCTAACACACCCTTTACACCCTCCCTGGATGTAAAAAGGCCATTCAATGAATAGATGTTATCAATTGGACGAACTCACATTTTCCAGCGACCTCAGCTTCATTTGAAATACATGAAATCACCCTGTCAAATCGCGCAAAGTTCGGTAGGTGTGATTTCACCGGGTAGACAATATACGAAGACAGAAGTTCCAAGTTGTCAGTATAGCAGTCACAGTTCCATTAAAGACCAAGTATGTGATAGCTTCCTTTACGGCTTTTTTATTAGTTTTGCCGGATATGTGATGTAAAGGGGTCCCAGACCCAAAAGACCGGATGTAAAGGAGACTCGATTCTTAATTAGAAGGCGTGGACTCACACGTGGTCGAAGGGCTTAACCATAAATCCCTGGATCAAGTCGACATCTTGAGACATTTGTTTTCAAGCGATTCTCCGGCGAACACTGGAATGTGGGGTGTCTGTAGGTGTGTCCTTCACGTGCTCAAAGGGCGTGGTCAAAGTGGTTAGAAGTCCATAAGTGTGTGTAATACAGACGTCAAGAATATTGACGTCTCCATATTATAATTGCTAAATTAAGATGTACATTGAAAGCAATTGGAGCTGGGTGTGGTTCTSCACGTGATGCGAGGGCGTCGCCTTCACGTGGTGGGTTTCTCACCGTCCTTATATATTTTAAGAGCCTTTTCCCTATATGAGAATGACGTCGGTTTGGTTGGTGCTATACTGGGTCTGTGGAGAAGTTAGCACGAAGTTAACCATTTTAACGAAGGTTCAGTCCTTCAGTTTTTACGCATTTTTACATTGGAAATTTTCCTTGTCGTTTATTGCATGAATGTCCAAAACTTTAGTAAAAGGATTCATCTTTTAAACACCCCTACTTCACAAATTTGTATAGAAATTAACAAAATCAGCAAAACCCGGTGACTTACTTGGTATTTTCTTTCTTTAAAATATCTTGYTTTTTCTCTTCGCTAATTTCCATCAGTGATTCAGTTTTATCTCTGMAATAAACAGAAACCTGCTTTAAAACGCGCTCTGAAGTCCACGTTGATCGATCACCTATCTTCTGTAAGCTTATATTATTCCACTCTTATCTCGTCACCAGTCTCTTACCTGTAATAAACGACCGCGCCATCGTCTGAAATGTAGAGAGGACTRCTGCGTAGTGATGTAGCATTTGGGTTCCAGTCCAATTGATCGTGTATTTCAAGTACGGATGTGGAACATGGGAAAGGACTGGAACGAGCCTATTGAAATACAAACAATCACTGTTCAGAGACTGCGGCCATACAATTCACTTTACATAAGTTGTAGAGAATGCAGTACCTTTGCAAATTCAATATTTTCTACAGGAATGTCACTGAGTTTGGCGATCTGAAATGAAAAGACAAAATACGATATTACTCTTTTCATAGCAAGGGATGAAAATCGGAGGAAAATCGGAAATACTTGAGAATACATCGGCACAAAATCGCGAATACATCGGGATGGAATCGATAACACATCGTAATAGAATCGAGAATACATCGGAATAGAATCGGAAATACATTGGAATAGAATCGAAATACAGCGGAATGGAATCGAGAATACATCGGGATGGAATCGAGAATACATCGGGATGGAATCGAGAATACATCGGGATGGAATCGAGAATACAGGAGAATCAAATCGAGAATACCCCTTCATCCTTGGCCTAAATATACCCTTCATTTAGTTGAGAAAAGAACTTCTCCCCCTGGCCAAGAGGAATACCACTTCCTGTAGTCCAACCTTACAGTCAATTTTCTCACCTCGTCCTTGAGTTCATCTGGTGTGCTGTGTACCAGAACAACTTCACGTAAAGGTCCGATGGTAAGAGTGGATGGCTGCCAATGGCTCACGTACAGAGAAATAATTGACGTAGAAGTGACTCGTTCTGGACCTGAAAACAGTGATTAATAACAGCATGAACAAGACTGAAGGTTTACTCGATAGTGTAGTGTTAAGCGGAGGCTRTTATGGCCTAGATCAAAGTGTTTCCTTCATTCTTGKCCTGCARMACTATAAACAATCCACTCTATTTCGTTTCTATTGTCTTTTCTTTTTCAATTGTTTTCATTGTCTTCTAATAAATAAACAGTTTTATCTTCTAACCTTCAAGTTCTTCYACGAAAACCTCAAAATTAGCATAAATGGCGATGTCGTCGTCGAAAACYTGTTTGTCCAGGTAGACAGTACCAGGGTTCTTCCAGGTTTTTTTGCGTAATCGTAAACTGAAASATGAACAAAAACATCAAATGAAACGACAGGATGGAAAGGAAAACAGAAAAATAAAAGTTAAAACAGAAAAATGAAAACGCAAAAGAGAACAACGCTAAAAGAGAAGCCAAGAAAAACTGAATACGAATAGATGGGAAAAGAGATGACAAAAACAGAAAGGACGTAAATGAGAATAGAAGCAACAACAACAACAAATTGAAAAGAGAATGAAAGAAAAGGAAGATAGAAAATGTGGAGGTAAAGAAGCGTGCCAGTAATCAATCATTCAAACAAACAAATAAGAAAACGCACTAAACAAGGAATAGACCTAATCGGCTTCAACCCAATTCAAACCATCCGGGAATAAGTTTCATTGTTTGTTGTATTTTCATTTCACAGTTGAATTCTTAGAAACAAAAGTTCATTTTCCCACAGGATTTGAATTGGGTGGTAACGTACATATCAACGCGTTAGCCGATTAAGTCTATTAGAGAAACAAACAAGACAGCAAGAAAGAAAATAAACAAATAAATAAATGTATTCACTAACTTTTGTACAGGACATTGTAAATCGCATTTCTTTTGTAATTCAGGTAATAGTAATTCTTTACATTTTCCAACTGTCAATCCTTTGTAAACAACCCAGTCAAACAAATAACAGAATGGTTCCTGGAATCAATAAAAAGAAATATTTAACTGATGACGACGTCTAACTTAGGACAGGTTAGGTGATGACTGACAGTAGTATAGAACAAGAGCAACAGTAACAATTACAACAGTATCAGCATCAACAACTGTTACAGCAACACAAGCAACAACAGAAATACTCGCAATAACAACTGCAACACCAGCATAAGCAGCAATAAGAACAACAACGACACTAGCAACATCAACAACAACAACAGCAGAAGAAACAGCAGCAAACACAACTGCAACAAGCACAATAAGCAAAGACAATTGCAGCAATAATTGCAACAACAATGACAACCGCAACACCACAATAAACAGYAACAACAACGACAGCAACATTATCAAAAGCAGAAACAAAGTAGAAAACTTACGTCTGGATTGTTGGGTTTTAGTAAGTGAACTTTAATGTGATTTTCGTCTTTCTTTAGTGCGCGACCATATTTTATTGTAATCTGTCAAGGAAGAAATATGATTAATTATCTTTAGCAATATGACAGATAAAAATTGTAGCTACCGCTGCACACGATACAATATTCATAATAAGCACTGTATTCTTAAAGGAAACATCAATATTTTGTTACCTTAGTATCGTCTATAAAATTGCTAAGTTTATCTTGATATCGCACTAATTCAATTTCCTGATTGTTGGAGTAAACTCTATAGACCTATAGTGAATGAAATATGATACAATGATTGTTGGGCAACATAATAGA